TTAATTGACAGTGACAGCATAACTTTTGACAAAATGAATTAATCCGATTTATCTACTTAATAAATACGAACTGAGAAAACAAAAAAACACTAACTACCAATTAAGATGCATTGAAAAATGACCTTGAGTAACTGCCGTCATCAGCAATAGCAACATTTTTCAATGTATTTTACTCTTTCTTTTCTCTTTCTTCAGTTAAAAAAAAACTTATGAATAACGTTCTCTCCGACAGCATCGAAAGAATTATAACTTCTCGCGCTCTCATTTTTCTTTTTTTTTCTTTTGTTTCTTCAAACTTGTCGGTTGTTGCTTTGGTGGTACTCATCGGTAAACGTACATGTATATACAACAACGGACAAACGAACGAACAAATAAGGGTACCGTATTGTTGTCTCCTATGACGACTTCTTCTTTCTGACGTCGTCCATAATACCACTTTCTTTGTTCTACTATTTCGATCAATCATCAGTCTCTAAATTCTTTATTTCTTTTGAATATACGTCATATTGCAGATTGATAAGTGCTCTTAGAACATTTCATACATATATATGAATAGTAGATAAGAATAGGTTTGAAATTTTTGATCTTCATTTTTCAAATTTTATATATTAAATTAAATTGTTTCTGTTTATACTGAAAACAGGAAGAAAGAAAAAAACAAAAATAACAAAAAATAAATGACTTTTTTTCTGATTTCTTTTTTTTGTGCAGAAAGTGTGAACTATATTGATGTCTGCTAGAGCACGTCGACGTCGAGCGCAACCTCCAGGTTCGTTAAAAACTACATATTTTTTTATTTTTGAACTATATATTTTATTATTATATCTAGCTGTTGTGAATTGTGCATTTGGAAGTGATAGTGATAATGATAATGGTAATGAAGGACAAAATAATGTTGATATAGGAGACGAAAATCATTCACCATCATCAAATCAAAATATCGATAGAAATAATAGTGATCTTAATTCAGATGGCTCTTATAAACAAGCATTTTTTACTATACACAATAAAACTGTTGAAGTTATATTTGAAAATAATGTATTAAGTTGGTCTGATGTAGTAGGAGAAAGTATGTTTTAAAATCGTATTTATGTATACTTATTTATTTTTATAGTTTCTCAACATGATGCTAGTCGACGAATATCTAAAAATATAACTGATGGTAATTCGGTTCGTTTAAATAATGTTTATGCAATTTCACCAATTTATAACAATTGGAATTGGTCAATGAATTTAAATGAAAATATTGCTGGTACAACTATATCTACATCGAATAGTATTGGTTTACCAGCAGTTCCTCAATCATCAAATTTATCTGAGACTTCAATTTTACGTGGTTTTCAATTACATTCATATCAAACTTTGCCGGATAATATTTTACAGGAAATTCTTATCGTATTTCAAAGTGATGATGCGAGTTTAATTGAACGATGGTTTCAATTTTTAGCAAGAAATATTGCTGAATGTATGTAAATTTTTTCCATTAACAATAATTTCTCATTTTTGTTTTTTTGCAATATCTTAGTAACATCACCACGACATATATTTGTTCTTTGTAATCCATATTCTGGTCCAAGACAAACTCGACATGTATATAATACTAAAATAAAACCAATGTTAGAAAAAGCACAATATAAAATAACATACATGGGTAAATTTCAAATGAATTTCTAATTAATTTTTACATAATTTTTTGTTCTTAGAAATAGGTGATCAATGTAGTGCTGATGATGCATTCGAAAGTTTTGAAGGTGATTTTGATTCTATAGATAGGTATATTAGAAAGTTCGATTATTAGTATTTATTTTTAATGAATTTGATTTTTATTTCTATTAGTTTAGTTGTTATGGGTGGTGATGGTTCAGTAATTAATGTTATCAATGCATTAATACGTTATCTAGCAAAACAAAATCGAACGAGGTTTTAATAATAGAATTATAGAAATATTATAAATAGAATTTCACTTTTTTAAATATAGAATAGACTTTGAAAGTGATTTACCATCGATATCCATTCCAATATGTATTGTTCCTAATGGTAAAGAAATTAATCGAAATAAATATTTTATCTAAAAATAAATTTTATTCAGGTACAACAAATATTATTTGCCATACAATTCATGGTAATGTAGATCATTGTACACCAATAATGCATTTAATTTTCAGTATGATTAACAAATCATTAGATGTAATTCATTGTTGTTTTTAATTTGAAATTTTAGATCATAAAATGAAAATTGATATGTCAGCAGTATTTGATATTGATTATAAATTTGTTACAGCAAATTTTAGTGCTGGTGCTGGTTATCCGGCTAATGTTTTAAAATATTTTCCACGTTATAATTTACATAGTCCAAAAGGTGTTATTAAAAAATCATTTGCAAAAGCAGCTTCAAAAAAAAATTTACAGTAAGACATTTAAAAAACATGTAAAGTCATGCCAAAAAACTGATTAGTTAAGTTCAAGGATGGATACATGATTCTTTGTTAGGCATGAGATGATCATTTAGAATCGAACAAAAGAAGAATTCTTAATTAATAGTACAACTTCATGATATTTTTTAGATTAACAAATATTTTAGATTCGTATGAATAGAAAACTAGACAGATGCTTTGAGTTAAGTAAGATATTGTAGATTAATCTTTATTCCGGTGACATTGATCATATTAGGAATTCTATCCCAGAGCATTTCCTTATTTTTAATTAAAAAGAAAATGTCTACAGTTATTTATATCTAATTGAAATTTAATTTAGACCTATTGAAATGGAAATTCGGTATATTCCAGCAATTCAAAATAATCCGTTAGTTACTCGTTGTTATCGAGGGTAAATAAAAATTCAAAATATATCTCATGATGTCTTTTTTTTGATATATAGTTGTCCATCATGTACTCCAGATGGAATAGAGAAATGTGATAATCAAGTTCTAGCTTTTGATGATAGTCATATACAAGAAATTAATAAACGAAGAAAATCTGCATCATCAAATAATAATAATAATAATCGTGTATCATCAGGATCTCGAAGAAGTTTTAGTAAACAAAATGAAGTTGAAAAAAATTGGAAAACTCTTTATCATAATTATTTACAAGTTGCTGTATTAACGAATGCAAATTTATGGTCATTTGCACCACAAGGCTTATCAAAATTTGGTCATATAGGTGATGGTTTACTTGATTTAGTTTTAATTGAAACAGTTAATCGTAAAGAATTTCTACGTTATATTAAACGTAATGGAAATTCAAAAAATCAAGTATTTCAAATTAGAAACTTAATGAAAATATATAAACAGATATGTTTGTTATTTTTAGCATGAACTTCCATTTACAAATATAATTAAAGTAAAAGAAATTGAAATTGAACTTAAATTACCAATTGATAATTATAATAATGAGATAATCAATCCTGATAATCGATATGATTCCACACCGTCAGATAATTCATCAAATGAAGATATATCTGATAATGAAAATAAAGCATCCGGTTCACAACGATATCAACCTCATCCACCAAGTATGCCTATACCAGAAAATAGTCGACCTCGTCGACGTCATCATGCTCAAATAAATAAACCAACACAAGAATCTGTTCAACATGTTCTTCAAACATCCAAAAGTGTAGATCCATCAATGTTCAATTCAAAAAATCGTCAATTACAACAACAACAATCAGAAAGTGAAATGGATAATTCACAACTTGAACCTTATGGTTCAACAAAAACACGTCGTCGTAGTGGAATTTTTCAATCATTAAAATTAAAGAAAAACAAAATACCTTTACCACGTCCATCGAGTGCTCAAAAAGAAGATCCTAGTGATGATAAACAACAAAATAAAAATCGTAAAACAACTGGTGGAACTCTTCGACCAGCAAGAGTAAGAACGATAAAAAAATCACTCGTACTATTAAGTGCAATCTAAAATAATTCTTTTCCTTCTCAATTACGACTAATATGTGAGATTTCCGGTCTCACATAGAATTATGAAATATCTTGAAGAAAAATCAATGTTAGTCAGGAGTCTAACAAGTATTTTGTATAGACAGATTAAATCATATTAAAATTGAGTTTTTAGATAAACTATACGCATGTTTGTTTTTCTAAATCTCATGTACTTTAGTTCTAATCCTAAGAATCTATATCAAAAGGCAAAAGCTTTGTCAGGATCGTGATTAAAATTTCAACCATAAATAAGTTCTCTGTAAATATTAGCGAGTGATGTTATTCAAGATGAACTAGTTCCTTTAATACTAAATAAGAATCTATTCGGTCCTATATATATTTATTAATGAATGAAAAAATTAGCTATAATTTATTTTCTAGTCGCTACTTAATCTTTTTTCGGGTGGAAATATACCATCAGGAAAAATGGATAAATCAACAACAGACTTATCACGTAATTCTTTATCAGCTGGTACTGGAAGGAAATTTTCGGTAGTTAGTCGTTCATCAAGTATCGATAATCCACAAATACCAGACTTGAATACTTCATTTCAAAATCGGAAAAGACCATGCATGTGGAATTTAGATTTTAGTCCATATAATTCATCATTGATAAGAATTAAGTAAGAAAAAGAAGTTTTTTTTCATTTTAAATATAAATATTTTTCTTTAAGATGCTTCTGTCGATATTTACCAGTTTATGGTAATGGTCTTAGTCCTGATACAAGAATAAAAGAAATTAATTATTCATGTTTTTGGTAATTATGTTTCGACAACATGTCTTTCGACAAAAAACATAGGATTCATGTTTTTAAATGATTTTACTCGAGTTATGTTTGTTTTTCTTTTTTACTGTTTTTTCTTTGTTCGTTCATATTCATATATATATATATATATTGATATATTTTTTGTTTTTTTTAAAATTGACATACACTTTTTCATTGATATCAAAAATTCTATATACGAAAAACATCGACCAGTACACATATAAAGTCATATTTTCCTATATGAAATTCAATAAATGATCTTTCGTGGATGAAATAATCTTATCACTAATAATTTATATCAATCTTTGTGAAATATATTTACTATTTTTCTTTCATTCATTCTATTATATGAGCCGGAAAATTATATGTAACCATTGAACTGTAATAATTAAATTATATTCTAACAATTAATGATAATAATACACCACATGCAGTTAGAATTACTCTACGTTGAGAACTTTTCTTTAGATATGTATAAAAGAATTTATCTTATTACAATTGAATTGATGTTAAAAGTGCACATGAATGAGAATGGCTGATTACTAATCCAAGAGAAAAATTTAACTACATGCAATCAGAATTAGTGGATTATATTTTCACTTTTATATAAAGCTCATTATTATATTAAGTAAATTGTCAATTACCCTAGTGTCTAATGTAGAATTGTCTCGAATTTATTATTAACTAAATGAAAATTTTTATTTTTTGTATATTCATTTTTAATTGAAACGCTAATACCAATCGAGCGGAGAAGACTTTTCCTGGCCTTATTTTTTTCTTTAATTATATCAATGAAGAGTAAGTTATTATCTATGCTCAGCATGAACTTCCCGATTCTACTAAAAATTGAATACTAATAAATCTATGACAATATTTTCGTTATTCAACAATCTGAGAAATACTCTTGAAACGAATCAAGTAAATCTAATTTTTATAATCTATAAAAATATATGATAAGAAAGAGTATTTAGCACTCTCTATAATATAATAATACATTGAACATGTGGCGCGCCGTTTTGTCACACACACATACTACATCCATAATATGAACGAGATCATATCATTTGCCTGTTCTGTGCTATGTAACAAAAATGTCGTACTTTATTTTGATTGGTAGTAATAGAAAAAAGTCAGACGGACTAAAAGAAATTATATATATTTATATAAAATAAATCAAACTGATCTCTTTTTCTTCTTCTTTTTTTTTTAATCTTTTGCATCAAATATGAGTACAACAACAACAAATATCGTTTGGTTACAAAATAATCAAGATGAACCTATACCAATTGAATTACGTACATATATTGCTTTATTTACAAATGAAGATGCTTGTTATCAATTTATATCATCTTTACCACCGACATTACGTGGTTTAACACTTGTCGTTACTGATTCAACAATATCAATGGATCGTTTAACTAAATTAAAACAAATTTCATGTATTTATATGTTATCATCAACAAAACCACAAATAAAAAATTCATCAAAATTTCATGGAATATTTCATGATCGACAATCATTAATAAATCAAATTGTTGCCGATTTAAATCGAACAAAATCATTACCACCAGGTTTTTTTACTGGTATTATGGCACCATTTCAAGGATTTTATTTTATTTTAACACATCCATCAGTATGGACACGTGCACTTATACCAGCAATTATATTTACTATTCTTCTTTTAATATTTTCTATACCTGGATTATGGGGAATGTATGTATTTACAGATCATTTAAAACAACAACATACATCACGCTGGATATATTTGGGTATATGGCTATTACGTATCGTACTTTATATCGTTGCAATATTTCTTTCCTTAATTCTTGCATTAATAACAGCTCAACCATTGAGCGCGCCAGCACTTGAAAGTCTTGTTCGTGCACAAGAACGTGAATTAAAATATCCAAATCGACCTGAAGAAGGTTTTTGTTCGAGTGTATGGAGAAGCATTCGTGTAGCTGTTATATCAATTTTATTTTCAATTTGTATATTTATTGTATTAACATTAGCAGAATTTTTTTTTCCACCAGCAATTATTATAACTATGCCATTAAAATTTCTTGTGACTGGTTTTATACTCGCATATGATATTATTGATTATCCATTATCTCTACATTTATTTGGTGTACGAGAACGTACACCATGGTTTAGACATTATATATGGGCAACACTTGGTTTTGGTTTGTCTATGGAAATTATTTTTCTTATACCAGGAGCTTTTCTACTTTTATTACCAGCTGGTGTTTGTGGTGCAACAATTCTTGTTATTGCAGCTGAACGAGCACAAATCGATCAACCATTATTACTTATAGAAATACCTACATAAATTTTGAATAAAAAATGTATGTGTCTTTTTTATTTTGCCAGATAATAGATATATGTATCTTAAAAGAAAAAATAATTTGTTTTTTCTTTTTCTTTGTATAACAAATGTTTACAATCAAAATAAATATTCCTAGAATAATAATAAATGCAATTAAAGAGAATAAATAAAAAAAAGAAAAAGAACTGTCAAACATAAAATCTCTATGGAATCAAAATGGAAAACAAGATATAGTGTTGATTTTTACAAGTTTGATAGTTACTATGTCTTCTGATGAAAAGAAGATATTAATTGGAATCGATCATCTGATGTGTTAAAAATAAAACATATCTACAGATCATGACAGACAGAAGCGTCTTCAGGGAAATAATATATGAATTTATTTTTAGCAATTATAGTCTAGATAATATAGACATATGATATTGTCTTATTGGTTATTTTATCCCTCGAAAGAACTAAAAAAAGCAATGCTTAGATGTAGTTCATATCAAATAATAGTTGTTAATGTTCACCTCATCTATGATGTCAAGAGTAGCATGTTTTCGATTCATTACTTGATATGTAAAGTATAAAAATTAAAAGCAAGCATAATTCAATTTTTGACTGAGAACAAAAAACACACCGCATCTCGATTTTAATAGAAAGTTCTAATTTTATTCAAATAAAAACTCATTCATTACAAAGTACCATAGACATATATCATTCAATAAAAGAACTTTTTATCTCTATTGACATGCTTTTTAGTTTGTAATTATATTTACATACATATATTTCATGTTAATAGAAGAAATGATATTTAATTTTTTTTATTAAAAATAGTATTTATACTTTATTGAATGAATGAATGATAAACTTCCTAAGCACATTGTATACCCTTCTTATCGAAATTTATTATCATAAACTCTAGACTCATCAACTTGATGATTGACATTAAGTAAGCTGCTTTAAAGTAATAAACATAATGAAAGATTTTATATTCCATTAAAAACTTAATCTAGAAAATATCAATTATTACTAAAAATTCTCGATGAATTTATAGATTCTATCAGTAGATGGTAAACATTGATTGTAACAATCTTAAAAGCTTTTTTATGAGTGAAGTAGGAAAGTAAGTATATATAATCGAACAAATAAATGTGTGCATTTAATTTGAATAAATATATTTAGACTTATACGTGCCTAACTTACAAAATTATGTGAGATATTAAAATCAACTTCATTGAACTATATATTAACGACATCTATTTTCGAATATTCTTCCAGTAAGAAACTTGGAATGATAACGTTTTTCGAATTTCCCAATTCTTTCAGTTCATACATATGTAAGATATGAAATAATTCATCTAGTATTAGAGGTTTTTTTCCTATCCGATCATACGAATTAACTAGCGCTACAATCGATGTTATTAAGAATCGAACATAACGCCAATCGATTCATTTCTTCTAGCCACATCAACGTTAATACTCATCTTTAGTATATATATATATATAGAGAGAGAGAGAGAGTAAGAGAGTTTTGAATGATATGTGAGTATAGTGACAGTGACCTATTGATGATATAGAAAGAGAAATCATTGGAGAGTGTAATAAATTTTCTTCTCTTCTTATTTTTCTCTCTCTCTGTGTTCTGATTAAGAAAATACTGTATCTCAATTTCATCGTTAACCAAGGGCACCTTTTATTTTTTTCTCTCTCTGTTCTCTCTCTCAATAACATAATAACAACACAACGTTAATTTGTTTCTATTTACGTTTTTAGAAAAATCTGCGTCATTTGAATAAAATTTATTTTATCTTTCTTTTAAGTTGATTTAAAGAAAAATAAACAAATATGGCTACGCGATCTTCATCATCGTCACGAACTCGAAATACTTCAGCAACAAGTTCTAGTGGTTTAAATCTGTCCCGTGCTCAAGAAAAAGAACAATTAGAAACACTTAATAATCGTTTGGCTGTTTATATTGATACTGTACGACGTTTAGAACACGATAATAGAGAATTAAAAGTATAAACTTTTGAATTTGTTTTTTCTAGAAAAAAATAAAATTTTTTGACTTTATTTAGAGTGTTATTGAATCATATACTGATACATATGAAGTTGAAACATCGAAAGTTAAATTATTATATGAACGTGAACTTGAAGATGCAAAAAAATTAATTGAAGAACTTGCAAGAGATAAAACACGTTTAGAAATTGGAGCTGAGAAAGCTGATGCTGAAGCACAAGATGCATTAGCTAGGTAAGTTAAAAGATATTGAGAATTTTATTTATAAATTATTATTATTATACTTTTAGACTTGCTCGTAAAGAACGTGATCTACGTTCTGCTGAAGGTCGACTTAAACAATATGAAACCGAAATTGCTGAATTAAAAGCACGTAATGAAGCACTTGTCTATGATAATAATCGAAAAACAGATGATAATGCAGTAAGTATGAACTTCCGATGATTATTTTCATAAACTTTACATAGAAAAATATATCGGAGATTAGTACTATTTATTTTGTTTGATCTAAAAAAAGACCTTTATGGAATACTAATGAAGTGATTAATATATGAGGATCAAAGTGTAGTAGATGAATATAATCAGTTAAACATTCATATACAATGAGAGTGTTATTCGTTTGCATTGCAGACTATACTTCGTATCATATATCTTAAGTAGATCT